GGGGGGGGGGGGGGGGGGGTGACAGAGGGCACCTCCATGAAATGAGAAGGGCACCTCCATGAAATGAGAAGGGCACCTCCATGAAATGACTTATTTCATGTTGGGATCCCTGATTTAGGGCGGCTGGTGTGCGATGCCGGTGCTCTATCTAAATGGCCAACTCATCGAAATCTCCAATTACGTTACTTACGGTGAGTGGAGATGGTGTTAGTGCGCATGCGCACACCCTTTCTGCTGAACAGAAAGACTGGAGGAGGTCTGTAAAGCTGCGGTGCGCATGCACAATAGCATTTTCATAATACTCATTGAGTATGATAAGTCACCTTTAAAAAGGTACATGTACACATCACGCATGCCAACTGACAGCTGTTTGAGAACTCGACGAGTATTGCGAAAATGCCACAGCTGTACAGAGCTCCTCCAGTCTTTGTGCGGCAGTTGGGTGTGCACACCTGCAGTAACGCCGTCTCATCAAAATCTCCTGCTGGCCCAGAAGTGACGTAATTGGAGTTTTCGACGAGTTGGCCATTTCGATGGAACACCAGCACATCACACTGTGTACCTTTTCTTGTTGTTTTTAACTTTATTGCAATGTTACAAGTGATATTAAAGTCTCCTTAAAATGGTGAAACTTACCTTGTGTAATGCCTCTTCATGTATACATCTTCCTTGCAGCCTTTTCAGAGTGTCCCCTCAGCACTAGTGCTGCTGATTGGTTTTTGGGTGTCTCCTTCACCTTGTACAACTGGTAACAAATTGTTGAGTGCGTTTGTCGTTTGTTTTGCTCCTTCACCTTACAGTGTCCCACGGAGACACCCTTGCATGCGCGCTCCCAGCAAGTATACACTGCTACACATTGCCTGGAATGGAAAGCCTTCCGACCCCCTCCTGTGTCATCCAGTGTGCATGCTCCTCTGCAGTTACTGTGTCCTTATTGCGTGTCCTCAGTGCACGTCCTCCCCTACCCAAAGGTCAGGGGAAACGGCATGGCACAGCACAATGAGGAGGCAGCGGGCACAGTAGAGAGAAAAAAGAAAGTGTTTAGCACGCCATTAATAAATAATGCACTACACTAGGCATTGTTCCCCTGATTGAGGAGTGTCCAAAAAGGCTAACAAGGTGTAGCCTTTAGAAACTACTTTAAATTCTACAGGCTTAGCGATGTGCGTGGAGGTTGAAACACATCGGATCTTGCTGCAGTGAATAAAGCACTGCATGCAGTACTTTTGTTCAGCGCACACCTCCATGTTTTCACCGTAATGCAGTAGTTTTGAATGGTGGCCGTCCATGACAAGGCAAATTGCCTTCTCTTGCGTTGAGGGTGCACTGGAAAAAAATGGCCAGCGCAGCCAACGCCTTTGGTATGAATTCCCCCTAAGGTGTCATTTTAGTACAGCACATTACAAGGCACCACAACACACTGCAGTGCATGGAATTTACAGAGAGGTTAGAAAAAAAGACTCCAAGCACTATGATGCATTATAGCAACACATTGCAGCACACCTTCACACTGCACCTCAACAATCACACGGTATGTGCTTGGTGTTGCCATGCGATGTGGTGTGAACCAGCCAAGTGATACACAAATAAGATACATTTTTGTACAAAAATCTTAGGTGTCAGGTCGCCATGGTGACTAGAAATTGAGCTCTGGCATCTGGCCTTTTGTAAGCTCGTTCACTGACCCCAACCTCCACCTCCTCTGGCACTAAATCAGCCCTGCCCCCCCCCCCCCCCCCCCCATTGTCCTCTTTGCTGGGAGCCCGCTGCATGCTGCGGTCTGTGTCCCCTTCGATCCCCGCCTGTATCAGCAGTGGAGATCAGAGTTGACACAGACCGCTGCAGCCGGTGCCCAGCGGGTAGGAGACACCACTGTCAGGTATCGCCCCGCACGCCATTGTTAGAGCAATCATTCTTGAAACGTTCCTTCACGATGAACCTGTTTAAGTCTATTACAGGCCTCCACTCCCCCGACTTCTTCAGGACAAGAAACAATGGGGAATAGGCACCTCAACCTCGCTCCTGCTGGGGCACTGGAACTACAGCCCCCTGTTCCTTCAGTGCTTCCACGTATGAAAAAAAGTATTTCCCTCTGCTTGTGACAAGCAGGAAGGAGTGTAAATATCAGCCTGGGACGTGGAGGTTTCTGGAATGTCCATGCATGGCCCTCAGATAATTCTGAGGACCTACCTGTCTTTGATATTGTCCATCCACACCTGGCGAAACCCGGACAGCTTAGCTCCTACTGGGCAGGCTTGGGTGGCTGACCATCAAAAGGACTTCTGACTCTGCTGGCCCCCTTGAAGACTTTGCTGCTGAACTCGCTGTGCTGTTCCAGGGCCTCCAAAATTCTCTGCCCGATTTGTATAACCTAATTTATTTGCTCCTATCTTGTGGGGGCTTACCACAATTGGGGCCTCCTCTGTTTCAGCAGTCTTCTATCTTGCGGGCTAAAACCAGGCTTCCCGCCAGTTGCTTTTGCAATAGCTGTATCTAGCTTGTTCACAAAGAGTGACTGGCCCTCGTAGGGAATCTTACACCACCCCTACTTCGAACTCGGGTCTGCTACCGAGGGTCTTAGCCACAGCGATCTCTTCCCCGTTACTGAGTACAACATGACTCTGGCCAAAGATTTTATTATGTCGATGTAAGCTTCCACCAGGAATGCAGATGACAACTTTATCTCCTTCAGAGATGAGAGGATCTCAGCTTTACTAAGTTCACTGGAAATGGCCGCCCGTTTTCAATCCAAACTCCCAATGCTTTGGACACTGAAGCACGTGCTGCTGCAGGTCTACACACACTACCTGCTGTTTAATAGATT